TCTCTATATTTATTTCACTTTTTCTTTGGTTGCAACTATAGATATCAGTGGTATATATGTTTTTTAAAAAAATAGTTGTCATCTGATTATTGAAAAAAAAAAATTATACCTGATTTTTCAAATTGAAATTTGAAAAAGTAGGATTTTAGGTAATTTTATGGAATTCTAATGGGCCAATATGAAAATAGACTAATATTTTTGGTTAATTCAAATAGGCAAATCGCATTGGTGACACAAACGACTTTAGGCTCCAAAAATCTCTCTCGACATTTTTCACGGAAAACTAAACCCTAGAAAGCAATAGTCTTCCTTGCTGTACTGATAAAACCCTCTAAAGAAACGATATTCGACACAATAATGGCGAATCGACGCTGTATTCAAAACCTAAATCGCCATTTCCAATTCCTTAGAACCCGAACTCCTCACCTGAATCCTCAATTCCTTGCGCCTACCTCGAAATTCACTCTCCACCCCGCCTTCACTCCCAAATCACTACATCGCTTATTCAACAGTAATGATATTAACCCACAGAGTGTAGTTTTCCGTCACTTCTGTTCCAAAAATCGAAATGATGATACTGATGAAGAAGAAGTTGAAGATGATGATGATGATTATGAAAGCGAAGGACAAGACATAGAGAGTGCGGATGATGAGAGGGAAAATGAGACAGCTGCATTGTCTCCCGAGGATAAAGAAAAAGAGGCAGCTGAAATAGGGTACAAAGTCATAAGTCCGCTTCAAAAGTCTGACCGGGTCTTCAAACCATACGAACCGGTTTTTGCTGTGGTTCAGGTTCGTTGAATCATCCCACCCAATTTTTCATTTGTGTTTTGTTTTCTTCGATTTTTGTTGAATTTTGGACCCAGATTTGTATTTGACTTGAGAGTGTGGGAGCTAAGAGCATATTTGGTCAAGCTTACAAGATTTACTTATAGGTAAACAAGGAAGTTTTGAAATAATTAATTCGACTTATTAGTGAAAGTTGGAAATAAGCAAGTTATGACAAGATAGCTGCTGAAACATAATTTACAAAATACCAATTAATTTCGTGTGCCATACTGGAAAGGTTGTATTTTTTCCTTCTTAACTTTGTTCACTTGTGTAGAAGTGTTTGCTCAAATCTTTTTTTTGCTGCTGTTGTGGTTTGCTTAGATTGGGTCACATCAGTTTAAGGTGAGCAATGGGGATTGCATATATGCAGAGAAATTGAAGTACTGCAACGTCAATGACAAGGTTATTGAACTCACATGTAGTTTTGCATTGATTCTCATTTCCTGGTCCTATTATTTGTTGGAAGTGTAGAATAAAAATTTCTTGTTACTTATGAGAGGACATCTAGGATACTTTTTCTCTCCTTATAACTTATCTTGTTGTTTGCTTGTCAATGAAATGGAAAATTTTGATAGTTTGAACTTTACTAGCAATAATATTTGACAGATATCTTGAACTCAACATGCCTCATTCTTTGATCTAAGCAAAACCTTGTGCAGTTTATAAATAGATCCAAGTTTTGTATTTTCCTACAGCATCATGCTATTAATCATTAAAAGTTCAAATTTTGATAATTCTTTATGATTGAATATATAGGTAGTAGGCCCTAAATTTGATATCTGCTCTTCATTTTTCATTGCCTTCGGACTAAAATGATCTTCTATGTCTCTCTTTCCTAGGTTTCTTGACCTTTGGTAGAGACTAATTCATATATAGCTATATCCTAAGAGCATCTTCAAGAGACTCTTTAAATATGAAATGCTCCCAATTTTAAAGAGTCAACTTTTAAAATTATGCTCCAAGAGACTCTTAAATTAACATTTTAATTTAGAGAGCCAAACTCACTCTCTATAATTAAATGTCTTCAGAGTATTTCAGTTTTCAATGTCGGCAAATAATATATTAATCTAAAGAAAAGTTAGTTAAAATAAAAGATAGAGAAAAATAATAAATATTTTTTGGGAGTAGTAAAATTAAGAGTTAAATATAAAGAGTCTGTTGGAGTATTTCAAAAGTTTTACTATTTAAATTTATAGACGCTCTTTTAATTATTGAATATGCTCTTTAAAAATAGTCTCTTGGAGATGCTCTAACTCGTTTCCATATGAAAGACTATGCATCTGTGGTTTCCTGTTTTCCAGACCGCAAATGTGGTCCTAGATCGATTGCATCACTCTTCCTATGGCCTCCGGATTGAGAGGGTGGGTGGGTGCTCCCAGTAGAGACCAGTCCTCTGCTTCAGCTGTCCTATGTAACTGTCATTCATTTTGATCTGAAAAGCATCTTGAAGAAAATCTATTAGTGTGTTAATTCTCTATTCTTTTTAATTTTTTATTTCACACAGTTTGCAAAAAAATAAATAAATGAACGAAGAGATGAGTTTTTCAATTTTGCAATTTCTCTCAATTCTGCATTGTCTCCGGATGAAAGCTTTATCATGAAACAATTGCAATTTGATTTCAACTCAGGCTCAGATTGGTTATAACTAAAGGTCCACATCACCATATATTTTGTTGTTTGTAACTAGCTGGATACCTTACCATCTCTCTCGATGATGTTCTTTTGGAACCCTACATCATGTTTTTGTATATGATTTTGTGTTCACACGGTGAATAAACTAGAAGCCAGGTACATTGATGGTTTTCTGAATTTGTATGCATTCTGTCTCCAGCATTTACCATGAACACTGAATCTTTGGCATGTGCTTATATGCACTAAACAATTTGATTATTGAGCCTGGTTAATAATTTCTGCCTGTAGTGGATTATAAATGAAAATAAGATGGATGATCAATTGCAGCTTTGCCCTGTAGAATAATTGGTATGGAGAATCTTGTGGTTGTAATGACTAGCTATACATCACAGACTGTTGTAGACTTAATGCTCAAATCCTTGATAGAGAGCACAAGTCACAGAAGGCCTTCAGTTGGTTGGGTAATATTTTAGTTTTAGGTCCAATTAAACTAAAAATTGAAATTTGACGTTAGTAGTTACAATCACTCATAATATTTTGACTAACATTTCTGTTTCTCTAGTTACTACGGCTCGTGAAGGGTCATAGCTCATTAGCAGATAGGGCATTTGAGGTACAATAACAACATTGTCTTATTGCCTGTAGTGTTTGACCTTGGTATGGAATATCCAAGACTTTGAGATGTACATTGCTATTTTGTTATGTCAAAATCACATAGTGCCACTACACTGGATATTATTGATCAGAGGAGATACTGCGCCTTAAACTAATTTGTGGATGTTATATCTTGAATTTTTTGGAATACGATTTTTCATCTAATAGTATCCATTTTCATATATTTTCAAGTCGAATTTGTTTAATTATCTATTTGTTGATGTTAACTATTTATTGGAGTAACTCTGTTGGGAATGTCAACTGATGCAATCACTGACCATTCTGTTGCAGCTGATCCTCAATAAGGTTCTTATGTTGGGATCAAAAACCCAAACAATCATTGGTCGACCAATTTTGCCTGATGCTGCTGTTCATGCTGTTGTTGAGGAGCATGTAAGATACTTCTAGATTGAATATTACCATTTTCTGCAACCTGCGTGAGATCTGACTATGTTTCATAAATAATGCACATTTTGTAGTTGAATTGAATCTGTTGCTCTCAACTCCTCCGAATTTATACTTAAAAATCAATTCATAAACTAGATTCTGATGGGCCAAACTTCATTGTTGATAAGATCATCCTCTGATCTCCTTTACAAACTAGGGAATCTTATATCTCAAGTTCTTATCGGGAGGAAATTCCAAAGATGAATGTAGAACTAGGTGAGCAAAGCAGTAAAATATGGCAATTATAAGCTTCATAACACTGGTCACTTTGTTTTCTTTTAAGATGTTGGTTCACAAATATATGGAGAAAACATTATGATTAATTTTAACTTGAGTGATAACGAACTTACAAAAAAATAAAGAATAAAAGGTCATCCTATGGACTGGATCGGTGTCTGTATGAGACGAAGATGCTTTTTGTGGAGGTCAGATTTTAAACTTGAAAGTTTTAAATGCGTTGATAATCTATGTGATTGCGAAATTTAACAATGCTGCAACTATTGTTTGAAAGTAATTGCTTATTGATGGAGGGGTAAACGATCTCATGGTTTATCCCCCTTCCATGGCCTTCTCACTGTCCCAAGCAGGTCTAAGCATCTTTATTCCTTGCGCGGAAGACAAGGATGAAGGTCTTCTTCTTTGATAGGCACCTTTTCATCTTGCAGGCACTAGATGCAAAAGTGATAATATTTAAGAAAAAGAGAAGGAAGAATTATAGAAGAACGAAAGGGCATCGTCAGGTAATTGAAATATTTATCAATTAGAATTTTATTTCGTCTATATTGATCTTTTCTGTTTCTTCTGTGCATGCTCTTGCTCTTTCTTCTATTTGTCCAAAGAAATAGATAGGTGATTCTCTAATTAAAACCTTAAAATTGGTTCCCATCGTCTCCCTGTTTCAGGAATTGACAAAATTGAGGATAACAGATATATCAGGGATTGAGAAGCCAGAAAATATGCCATCTTTGAAGACGGAGAAGAAAGAAAAGATACCATCTTTGAAGACGGAGAAGAAAGAAAAGCAAGAAAAGATGCCCGTTGCAGCTTAATTGGGACTTGGGTTCAAATGGCTGGCTTTTTACCGCTTATGTTTTTTATCAGCTTCTTTACAGCCCATGCCCCATGGGGTTGAAGACGGGCAGGCTGTATTTTCGTTTATTTTCCTCTCTATTTTAGTCTTTCCTCCCTCCATTTTCCCAGAACTGATATCTGATATGGTTATTTAAAATTAGTCAGAGATGCTGCTTGGGACAGCTTTGTTTCTTGTTTTTTCACGATATAAGCATGGATGATATAAGAGCAAAAGTGTATAATGGATTAAATCTTAAGTTCTTTTTTTTCCATAAACCGTACCAAACATGCCATAGGGGGTAAGTTATGTCTCTTGTAACTTTTGAGGAGAATATTCAGTGACAAGACAATTATTTAAACACCAATTGATCAAACCATAAAATAGTCTGCCAATAGGGCGATCACCACACCAAGTGCATGGGAAATGCATATGCAAATGGAGCAGTAACTTAATGGCTTATATGGTCTCTTAGTTACTGATCTATACAATTTTAGCAATAATCCTCGAAAAAGATCAAATTTCCAAGCTCTGAGTAACAATTAAATTCATTCATAACTACAAAGGCTCGACTTGTATCATTTTTTATTCGTGCATAGGTTTAGTTATTTCTCCTACCACAAAGCAGCGCAAAAAAATTAGCATCTACAATGGTTGAAATTGGATAACCCATGTGTTCCGTTGATTCCGAAGCATTCAAGCTTTGATGACACGACGATTTTTCAACTCCACAAGCCATCCCTTACCAGGCAAGTGAAATCACAAGCAGCCCTTCAATTTTTGCTCTTGTGCACAAGAATTTAATTCCTCATCCTTAATAAAAGAAAACAATTCATCAACCACGGCTGCAGATGAAATACCCTCTGCACAAAGAGATCCCGTGAACTTTTCCACGTCTTCCTTCCTTTCCAGATATCTGACGCAGGTGATCAAGGTATCGTTCTTAGGGTCTGGAGAATACGTCGATAATGCCTTCTTTAATGCTTCCACAGCTCTCGAAACTTGATTTCTCATGATATATCCACCTGCCAAAAGGCGCCATGTAGTAGCATTAGGATCACCACCTTTCGATATTCCTCTGTCTAAAAGAGCTTCAGCCTTCTCCAAAAGATGATTCCTACAATATGCATCAATCAAGAAGTTAGGAATACGGAAATCATAGGATAATCCTCTCGATTCCCATTCCTCAAAAATCTTCTCAACGCCTTCAACGTCATCAAACTTCATTAACGCCCGTATCATGCTCATGTAAACCTTATTAAAGACTTTGTTGTTTTGTTTGTACTCATTCCATATTCGATATAACTCTTCTTTCTTGCCCATTTCTGCATAGAGGTTGAGGATGAAACTTACTGCAAGATCCTTTCTCTTCGTCTCATCCATCAAACTCTCCATTTTATGCAGCATCTCCAGTGCTTTATCCACAAAACCCACTCTTAAGTATTTTTGAGCTACAATAGCATACATAGTCCAGTCCAGAACAATACTGGAATCAGATTGCATAATTCTTAAAATTTTATCTATTCCTGCAGGATCAGAGGTCATATCACAAGCACTCAAACGAATGGTGAGTGTGTATCGATCAAGAGGAATACCCTTTTCTTTCATCTCATTGATTAAACTATCAAGCTTTTCCTGGTTTCCCAATTGATGGTAGAGTTTCATCATAATATTATACCATACTGGTCTAGTAGCATAACCCATGTCCCTAGCTTTCTGCAAAATGGCCTCTGCTTTATCCACAGACTTAGCATGCACATAGCAGTTGAGAAGGGAAACATGAGCAACGACTTTCAATTTTGCTGGGATGGTGTCGAAATAATTCTCAACTTGTTCTAAACCATAAACGTTAAACAATAAATTCATTCGGATGGCAGCATCTGAAGAACTCATGGAAAGGTATCGTTTATCAGTCATCCATTGAGATACCTGAAGATATGTTATGATAAGAACTCAGGAGATCAATTCATGTGATAATGATACTGCAATATTGCTAATCTCTATACTTCCGATCATCATGGCAACATTTACTTCTTTAGATAATTTTCTCAAAAAAAACAAAAAATCAAATTTGGTTAAGGGGAGAACATTGTTGCTTTTAATTATTCTTCAGAAATAGCATTTCCTAGGATCCTATACTTAAATTTCTATTCAATCATTGTTCTTGATATATATGTATCTTATCGATTCATCAATTCCTGTCTCATTTTTTCTTGCAACATTAATTTTTCATGGTTCAAAAACTTCTCTTGAAAGAGCGTGCTTGGCCAAACTTGAAAAAGTAATTTTCTTTAAGCAACCTCTCAAAACATGATTGGAAATATAAGTAACCATTTTTTTTACTTAATTTTAAGCTGACCCAAACAAACTCTAAATATGTCTTCTATTAAAAACAGTAGAAATCACAATATACAGGTCAATGGATGAAGCAAACAGTTTTGTACACACACTACAAAATTAAAGGGTAAAACATATTAAACATTAACAAGATGCAAATAATTAAAATTAAATCAAAACAAAATATTTAACTAACCCATTAGCTTAAATCAACCAAAACTCAACCTAAAGCCAGAGATAAAGAAGACATTATTAATAATAATATGCAAACCTCAAGCGCATGTTTGAATCTTTTGTAAAATCTCAACTCATTAATTATATATCGAAGCCGTGATTTATCAACAGTATTGCCTTCTCGGATCCACTGGTCGAGGACTGGTACTACTGAGACATTTGGGTCACCCAATGGCGAGATTCTCCTGTACAGTGACTTCGATTCCAACCCATTTTCTGAGTTTCGAACTCGGTTTAAACTTGAGCTAAAAAATTGCTTACGAATTATTTCATAATAACTCGCTTGCGAATTGAGCGAAACTGAAACAGAAAAACGCTTCATTGGATTCGGGAAAGTGACGGTAGGAGCGATCGGAAGGGGGAAGGAACGAGGGCATATGTTCTGGACTGGGCCAACTCCGTTGATATGAGTCCGAATTGGGTTGCTTGTTGGGCTTTTAATTGGACCACGAAGAGTAAGGTTAGCCCATCTAAGACGGGAAGAAAAACGAGGTTATATGTTTGGGCTGGGCTAACTCACAATCAGAGTAAGACTTGGGTTGCCTTTGCCTTTGTTGGGTTTTTAATTGGACCACGAAGGGTAAGGAAAGCCCATCGAAGGCGGGGAGAGGATTTGAGCTGGGCCAACTCTCTGATTTGAGTCAGGGGAAAATTTCACAAGGAAGAGATTAAGTATACCATATTTCAAAATTAAGAAAACAAGTTTCAAACTTCAAAAATCAGATTTTTATTATAATTTATTTATGATTTAATTAATTAATTAAATAATTTATTAATTAAATATATCTAGGTAACATATTTGTATAATTTGGTCACAAATTAACAATTCAACTAGTCATTTATTATTTTTTGGTCACAAATCAAAAATTTTATATCACAAATTATTATATGATCACAATTCAAAAGTTTTGTAGGTCACAGTTTTTTCGTTGGTCACAAATTAAAAAATTAATTAGTCACAAATTAATTTTTAGTCATGACTTATCAAATTATTGATCCCAACTTATTTTTCGGTCACAAATCAAAGAATTTATAGGTCACAGAATATTTTTGGGTCACGAATCCAAAAATTTTATAGGTCACAAATTTATTCGAGATTACAAATCAAAATTTAGTAAGTTACAGATCACATCATTGATCACAAATTCAAAAAATTATAGGTCATATAATATTTTTGGGTCACGAATCTAAAAATTTTATAGGTTACAGATTTGTTCGAGGTCATAAATCAAAATTTTATAAGTCATAGATCACATTATTGCTCACAAATTCAAAAAATTATAGTTCGCAGAATATTTTTGGGTTAGGAATTCAAAAATTTTATAGGTCACAGATTTGTTCGAGGTCACAAATCAAAGAACTTATAGGTCACAGAATATTTTTGGATCACGAATCCAAAAATTTTATAGGTCACAGATTTGTTCAAGGTCACAAATCAAAGAATTTATAGGTCACAGAATATTTTTGGGTCACGAATCCAAAAATTTTATAGGTCACAAATTTGTTCGAGGTCACAAATTTTCCAAACTAGAATAATTACTAATTGCAAAAAATTATATATTATAAAATAAACAAGTGCTAGACATAACAATTTTTTTACAAATTTTTGCAGCAGCAAGATCAAACTCTGCCATTCAGTAATCACTGGAAGCACTAGATGATACTTAAAATTCAATTTCCAAATCTAGCTTTCTAACCTAAACCCAAAAAACCAGACAAATATGGACACATAAAAGAAGAAGAAACAGCAATCTAATGACTTTAAGCCAAATCAACATACACCATGACAAATATGGACACAGAAAAGAAGAAGAAACAGCAATCTGATGACTGTAAGCCAAATCAACATACACCACCACCGAGGCGTAAGGTCGTCTAAATTTCGCCATAATCGGACTCAAAAACAAAGACAAAAAAATCCCAAAAAAAAAAATGGAGCTCGCGAATGAAATTGGCAGATCAAATCGAGCTCGCTCTGCGTTGAGCCGCCAGCAGCGCCGCCTCGCTCCACTTCACCTTGTTGCCGTCGATGAGTGTGGTTCCGACATCAAGAAGAGGGAGAGAAGATCCAGAGAGTGGCTGTGAAGAAAGAGAGAGAAAGGGAGATGGAGAGAAAAATAAACTAATTAGGGTTTTGAAAATAATGAAATTTGTATATTTAATATTTAATATTTAAACATGATATATCTGATTTTTGAAATGTTAAACTACTCATCTTATTTTAGAATTGTGAATACTTAAAGTAGGCAAATGTGTAATTTCCTCTTGAGTCAGAGAGTGCCCAGTTGGGCTTTTATTTGGACAAAGAAGGATAAAGGAAGCCCATCAACGTCTTCTGTTAATTCAATCAAATTCAAAAGAAAAAACATTTTTTTACCATATATTCATGGTTACTATTCATTATTATCCACACATTTCATGGAATTCAAATTCAGTTAAAAAGGATAAGCCACTGGTGATAATTGATTAGGGTAAAAAAAGAGTAAATTTTTATATCGACTAACAAGTAATTAATTAAAATTTTAATTTGAGTCTAATTGCATTGATTTCATCAAACATAAATAGTATCCTTATATCACGTTACATGATTCGTTTGAGCCATTTTGATTGAACACATATAAATATATACCTAATCGCAATTTTTGGCTTCAAGCGCTTGCCTCGGTTGTGAAAAGCCAAAAAATTGGCCAGTCGAGGAGGAACAAGTGCCCGCCACCGTTTCTGTCAAAAACTTGCCGTCTTTTGGAGGCCAAAGAAGAAAAAGGTGAAGGTGAAAGAATCCTCTGAAAATGGGAGTGGTAATGGAGAAAGACAAAGGATAGTTTCATGGAATTCACAAGGCAATGGTTTTGTTGTATGGTCTCCTGCAGAGTTTTCGGAGTTCATGTTGCCTAAATACAAATACCTATGTTAGTCTCCCTTTTCACACTTGCTTTTCTTTTTCCCTTTCTTTGGTCAGAAAATTTTATTATTTAATTAAAAAAAAAAAATGGAGAGGATTTTGAGGGGCACCAGATTTTAACGAATTGGTGCTCAATATTGGCCACTTGCCCTCAAAAACTGTTTATAAGTTCACAGAGGTATAAATAGTTCAACAGCCAATGAGAATCACCATAACTAATATCAGTGACCATTACAGCAACCAACTGCAGAAACACTTTGCAACAAGTCATAAATTTATCGGGCAAGGAAAAAAAAGGAAAAAAAACAATGTCTTCGGAAATTTAATATCCTATTTCCAAGATGCGGTCCCGTGTATAAAACATAAGCATAGCATTAAACGAAGCCAAAATCCGTCCCATATTTGTGCGTTTATCTCTACTCGGATAAGGTAGCCTTGAGTTCACCATTGTTGTGCAGTTCCATCACAATGTCACAACCTCCGATCAACTCTCCTTTGTAATATAGCTGTGGAAAGGTTGGCCAGTTTGAGTATGTCTTTAATCCTTGCCTCACCACCTCGTCAGTCAGAATATCGAAAGAACCAAAATCGACTCCCTCCTCCTTCAGGGCATTTACAACTTTGGAGCTGAAACCACATCGTGGAGCATCTGGAGTACCCTTCATGAAAAGCATTACAGGCGATGAATTTACCAACTGTTTAAGGCGATCTTCGAGGGTTTCACCAGACGAGATCCCTTTCTCAGATAGGACCTTCTTAAGTTCTCCACTCTTTTGCATCTCCAACACAATGTCTGATCCACCAATGAGTTCACCCTTTATGTAAAGCTGAGGATAACTTGACCAATTTGAATAAACTTTAAGGCCTTGACGAACCTCATCATCACTAAGAATGTCAAAACTCCCAAATTTGACTTTCTCCTGTCTGAGAATGTCAACAACCTTGCGGCTGAAACCACATCGCGGTTCGTCGGGTTTTCCTTTCATAAAGAGCATGACTTCACTTGAATTTATCAGACCTTGCAATCGAAAAGTAAGAGCAGCAGTCAAGCCTGAAGGACCTGTAACGCCTCCCTGTCCACCATCAGGTTTGGTAGCTTTTATCTCACCTGAATCGGAGATTTCAATTCCGTGATCTTTGAAAACTTCTTGTAGCTCACCACTTTCATGCATAGCAATTGCAATATCACAGCCACCAAGTAGTTCGCCCTTACAATATAGCTGAGGAAACGTTGGCCAGCTCGAAAATTTCTTCAATCCGTCACGAACTTCATTGTCCGTCAATATATCAAAACTTCCAAATTTAACCTTTTCTTTCTTCAATATGTCAACTACTTTTTGACTGAAACCACATTTGGGGGATTCGGGGCTCCCTTTCATGAAAAGCATAATTGCGTGAGAATTAACAAGCTGCTCAAGTCTCTCTTTGAGTCGGTCACCTGCACCAGAAGGTGATAGGCTCCCTAACCGAGCAGAACCATTTTTTTTACCGAACTCCTGCACTGTTTCAAGAACAGTAGGTCCTGCAGCCATACCGAGGCTAGCAGGAGCAGCAGGTTCCCCAGGACTGATTGATCCAGCAACTTTGGCAACCTTGTTGGCCAAACTAGTTGGGTCAGCACCTTCCAATGTATCGACTGCCGTGCCATCCTAATAGAATCAAAGTCAGTTTCTCTATATCTCTTTAAAGTAGGTTATAGGGAGAGAGGATATATATAAATATTTTATGTATGTATGTAAGCATATGCCACACCAAAGCTCAAGGATAATTTACTCAAAGGCAAACCAGCTGAGCCTTGAAGGGGCTAACATATGGCATAGCTTACCAATCTGGCACCTAACAGCATACTTGCAGTTACCGATTATAAAAACAAATATGGAAACAACAACGTAGGGGTGAAAAAGAAAGAAGAAACCACAAACAAAGAAAGAAAAAGGCAAAAGATAATATTAAACAATGCTATGCACCCATTTAATCAAAAGTAATAATAAAAATGGTATTAAACTAAAGGTTTTGGTGCTAAACTTAAGTGGACTAACATATGCAAACCTTTTAATGAATGGAATCGGGACTAAGGGTGTTCAAAAGAACGAATTATGCGCACCAATGAAGCCTTTTGGGCAATTTGTAGCAACAAAGCTACAGCATTGGTTAAATGGGTGCATAACATTTTACTGAAGAATCAGAAGCTAGTGATTGATATTGGTCTTTAGGAAAGATATTGCAGATTAAAGATAAAACCCCAAAAATTCATTTGGGTACCGATTTAATAATGCAGCATGGTAATTGGCACCTTTTAAAGACTTAAGGTCGCATTTCTCAGCAAATATGTCTAGGGAATATAGTAGTCACAACACTCAATATTTGTTCTATCATGGAGAATGGCAATGCACGAGATTAATATCAAAGTGATCATTTATACAATAATGATTTTCGTTGTCAAATGACAGAACAACTCGGTAGCAGTTTACTTACAATATTAAGTTGATATTCATAAAAAGCGTCCACTGAATTATAATTTCAATACAATATTTTCAGAAAAAAAATATGGGGACCGTGGGGTATTCATGTACTCATTCCATTACCCTTGTAATAGTTAGAAATAATGCTATTTGTCATCATTGATGACCATCATCACCCTATGTGGCAACACAGTTGCATCAAATGATAGTTCCAATTAACTGTGTAGGGGCATGGAACCCATGTTTTTAGATCTACCATTCAATGCCATCTAAACCGACATGATGACGGCTAGTGATAACAAATAGCATAACTCAATAGTTAGGGAGGATAAAAAGCAAATCTATAACTATCATGTATAACTAGATAATTCTTGTAGAAGACGGCAAATAATTACAAGCCCTGTTTGATTGCACAAATTTTCCATGGAAGTAGGAAATTAAATTCCATTTTCCACCTTTTTGAATGTTTGATTGGCCATTTTTTTTTAGCAATTGATTTTCTGGGCAACACCCCATTTTCCATGGGTTTGGTGATTTTTGGTTTTCCAAGATTTTTTTTTTTTTTTTGGAAACAAATTCTATCCCTAATTATAACAAATTCTATCCCTTTCATTGACAATTTTCATGGAAAAGAAATCCAAACGAACACCAAAATATCCAAATTTTCAATATTTTCTAGGTGGAAAATTATACTAAACAAACACATTTAAGCCGGCTATCTTCAACGTTTGAGATTTCCTAATTGGACATCTAAACAAAGAAATTCCCAGTAAAATAAGTTGAATTAAACGATAGTACCTTAAAGAACACAAAATAAGGCACGGCAGAAACAGAATATGCCTCAGAAATTTCTGGTTGTTCTTCAGCTTCAACCTACAACATCACAAAGGATGTTAGCTATATAGCACATAACTTGTGAAAGTTCTCAGTCATTCAGTTTCTTTGTATGCTAGCGTTAGAATCACATGGCAAAAAGGATTAAGGTAAATTATCGTGTTTGAATCACTCAGAGCAAAAACCAAAAATAGAAAATTTTGAGATTCATACTCCAAATTCATAAAATATGCTTAATCTGTTATTGCTGATTAGGATTAGCTGAACCCAGACCGGCATTGTATTTCCCATGGTTTGACCATTTGAACATAACACTGGACTCCCAAATCCCATCTATCCCCGAAAATTGAAACAGGAGAAATACAAGAAATAACCATTCTAATCGGCCTGAGTAGGTTAGGCATGAGAATGCCATCTATACCCCTTATCCCCTCTCTCAGACTCTCACATATGAATGCACGCACTCCCAAAGAGAGAAGGATAACAAGTAACAATACAAGCATTGTCTTCCTAGTAAATAATTACCATTTCCTTTCCACAATTTACTAATATTCTGACAGCCAAGTACCCTTAACGTATATTAGGGGTAATTAAGAAGAAGAATTTTCTAGAAATACCAAAGAAAAGTAGAATCTCAATTAGTTTATTCCTTTTGTTTTCTTTCTTTCGAATAATTAGAAAAAAAAATTTCAACCAACCATTACTGCTTTCTTTTTGTGGGCACTAAAATACCAGCAAATAAATATTTAATTGAAAATTTTAACCAAATTATAGAACTAGAAATATATGCCATCTCATCACAACTTTATTTTCTAACAAGGTTCGAATTACTCGTCGAATTTTTTTTTTAAAAAAAAAATTTAAAATTGAACGGGAAAAGCGAAGAGATCTCACAAATTCAGCAATAAAAACAAAAGCCAGACCAGTACAGAAAATAGCATCATAATAATAATAATAATAATAATAATAATAATAATAATAATAATAATAAGAGAAAGGGGTAAGTATAAACCCGGCAGAAGTGGGCTAGAGGGAAATCAGTGGAGAGATGAGAGAAAACTTGGTCCATGTGCTTGGAGGCCTCGCACCACGACGCCCAGAAATGTAAAATGACCGGCGAACCTTCCCCAATGGTTTCATCAAGCACCGCCTTCGATTTCACCTCCTTCACTGCTCCTCCTCCTCCGACGCCTGCCATTATTTCTCAGAGATTCTACTGACTTTCACTACTCCAAGCGAAAGAATAGAGCAAGAGAAAGAAGAATCTATGCGAGAGGGAAGTTTGGGCAATGGGTTTATAAGAGCGGTCCCAGGCCCTTTTCATCACAGCAATATCGCATAATAATTCTTAAAATTGCCATTTTGTTCATAATTACTTTGGGGTATATTTGCGTCCGTTTCATTGCACGAAATTTTTTATAAAACTTAAAATTCGAATTCTAACTTTCACTTTTGACATGTTCGATTGACAAATTTTTTCAGAAATTGATTTTTCATGAATTTCTAGGTAAAACACTTTAAAGCGTGATTTTCCACCTTTTATTTTCCTAGGGTAAGTGATTTTTGCTTTTCCATCTTTTTTTTTTTTTTTTTTTTTTTTTTTTTTTTTTTTTTTTTTTTTTTTTT